TATCTAACATCAATGGTGCTACAACACTAGTTTAGGTGATTTGATGTGATAAACTTGATGAGATGTGCAATTAAGTGAGTCATTTAACTATACATCTCATTTAATGTCACATTAAAACATCAGTTGTGCTACATAGCATTATTCTTTCATATATATCAATACTAAGCACGTCATATTATTAAATGTACCCCAATCGAAAAACATGTCTTTTTATTACGCCTCTGTTTGTCATCTTTTTTTTTTAATTCTTTGTTTCTCAAAATTATTTTTAACTAAACATTCACACAATAAAATATTCTATACGTAAATTAAAAACCTTATTATATTTTTTATTTTTTAACTATACATTCTCTCAAAAAATCACTATTTAAGACATTATTTTTTGGAAATATCACCAAACATGGGCTTTTTTTCTTTCATTTTGATATGCAATACTTTCTTTTGAGTAAAATAAGTTCGTGCCAGATCTAACATGTATTCCAGTGGAGTTCAGCATCATGTCTGGTGTCGGGATTGTGTGAGTAGTCTGTAAGAGCTCTTTTACATTGTTCAAAGTTCTTTTATACGACGTTAAGTACTCTATAAAATTTCGGTGACTCAAACACTAGAGAATGCTATTTATTATAGATTTGTCCCCAACATATTGCCCTCTTGGATAACGAGTTCGACGGAAACAATGATACACGGTACAAAGAGAAAAAAAAAAATTCTCTCACGATGTCACTATCTTAACTTTCACTCTCAAGAGTAATTTACATTAATGAGAATCGCACTTGGAGATCGTAAAATTATCAAACAGCAATTTACGTGTTAATTATCGGAACTTGTTCCTTCATTAACCAAACTAACGAAAGCGCACAATAGAATATCCATGTGTTAAATGAGCCGTGCTCCACTCGTCAGCCCTTATCGGAACTTGTTCCTTGATTAAGCAAACTAACGAAAGCGCACAATAGAATATCCATGTGTTAGATAAGCCGTGCTGCACTCGTCAGCCCTTCAACCCCTTCTCTATAGATTTGATAATTGTTATTGCAAGCTCAAATCAGCACATTTTTCTCACATCCCCACTGAAGGTTTAAGAGAAATGGGAAGCACGGGTGCTCTGATCAACAATCTACACCTAAAAAATAACTCCCTTTGCTTCAAATGCTTACGTTCGACCCCGATTCCTAAAACTTCTTTGCATATCAACCCCAGAAAACCCAAGCTGTTGAGCTTCTCAATTAAAAAGAATTCGAAGAAATTTACAAGGATAGTTTGCTCTGCGGTTGAAGATGCCATCGAGAAGCAGCAAGAATTGAGTAGTGGCAGCCCTAATGGAGCTGACTTAGTTGTTGAAGATATGCAGGGTAAGATAGAACCTATTTGATATTTTTTGTCTTCAAGATTATTATTATTTTTTTATTTTTCGGACTTCTTGATCTGGCATTTTTTCTGAATTGTGTCGGTAGTTGATTGCTGATACTGGGCGTGCCCTATTGTTTGAACTTCATGATTTGATGCCTTTGATGTTAATATTGTATTTTGGTATAGTTTTGGAGTGGAATTGTTGTAAAGGCTCGGCTTCATATCTGTTTGCTTGGGGAGAAAAGAGAACATATTTTCTTCATCATGGTGTATTGAGCTAGGTTTTTAGCAGTCATAGGTGCTAGTTTCACAATTGGATAGGCTATATTGCTCTTCAGTTTTGTGAGTGCTCGAAATATGGTGTCTGGTACTTGACATTCAGGCAACAATATGAGATTATCATGGTCCTAAAGTTAGGGAGTACACCAGAGATGTTTTCTTTGTTCTATAACTATTTTAAAAGAGATTTCGATATGTTTGGAGCATTTTGACTGTGTTGGCCATCATGTTACCATTGGGTTAAAGAAATAGTAATAATATGTTGTGTCCAAACACCCAGAATTTGAGCTTTGATGAACTTGGCATTTTGATGAATTCAAAGCATCAAGCACCCATACCCAAATGTGAGAAGCATTTGAGCTGGTCCGTTTATTAATTCAACCAGATGAGTGTTGCTAAATACTTCATCTGGTTGCTATTGTTGTAAGAAACGAAACAAGTTTTCCTCCGATCTTGGATAATTTCACCATGACTTGCTGGTAAGTTGATCTTATCACCATGACATGGTTTGGTTATATCAAATTTTCTTCCATTCTCAAAACTCTTAAAGTGTGTGGCTTGTTGACCTGTGAGAACTGGATAGGTGCGATTCTTTTAGTATGATCTTGCTGCATAAATTTGTAAATATCAATTTGGACAAGAATTTTGAAAATCTATGAGTTGAAACTCTGTTGTTTAATTAAAGTAACATGCCTCTTTCCTCTTATTGTAAAGCAAATGACTTTGGTAATTGAACATTTTATGGCATTTGCAATCCCACGATGATCTTGGATATAAATCTTTTTACTTACACACACACACACACACATTTTACTGGATAGAGAATATACATTTATAGATTAGATTATAACATGTTTGGCAAAGCTTTTAAGTGCTTCTAAGTTGTAGGTCTCGTGGAATGTATAGATAATATGTAAGTAGTAAGTTGTGAGTCCTATTAAATAAATGGATAAAAAGTATGTTCGACTTGCTTAAATAAAAATGTTAAGATTTGCCAAACATACACTATTTCTGAGGAGCTCAAAGGATGCCTATTCATTTGATCTTGCTTTTTTGAGGCCCTATAGGCCGTGGTTTCTTGGTCCGTGTGTTTACTTGATGTTTCACTTTATGTTTGTATCATATTTCCACGAGCCTCTATCATCACATAAGTGTATGGACACAGTAGTAAATTCCTATGTTCTGGGCGTGCCAAAACTGCGCCTTATTGTGAGTGATTTTCCATTTTTCTTTCTTTAGTTGCTGACATCTACTCTGAAGACTTATTTGTGCACTATCATTATCTCAGTATAAGAGGTCTGTAGTTTGCTCAGATTCTGAAATCATATATTACGGCATTATAGATTCTAGTGATGGCGCAAAAAGTCGTCTTCAGAATAGCGATACAGATGATGATGGGAATCCTATTTACAATTTTCTTTATCCTAGTAAAGAGCTCCTTCCCGATGATAAAGAAATGAGTATATATGATCATCTAGAGGAGTTGAGACAGAGACTTTTCACGTCAGTTTTGGCCGTTGGAGCTACTATGCTTGGTTGTTTTGTGTTCTCAAAGGAACTCATTATATTTCTCGAAGCTCCAGTTAGTGCACAAGGTGTTCGATTTTTACAACTAGCTCCTGGAGAGTTTTTCTTCACATCTCTAAAGGTATATATCATCAATATCTCTTCATTCCATGAGTGAACTTAATGTTCTCTTTTCATTTGGCATTGAATAAAATATAATTTGTTACTTGTTTATTTTATCCTTTCAGACTTCTGGTTATCTGAAACTACAGCTTCTATCTCTGTCGTACTTTCTCGTATGTCTATTTCCTATACTAGAATTCCAAAGCTCCTCTTTAGTACCTGAATGTATGCACGTACAGATGGGATTAAATGAACATTTCTTGTATTTTAATCACAGAGGCAAACCATTTCTTGAGCGTAGACATGACATATTAACTTATGGGTTAACTCATTATGGTTTCTGCATGTAATCTGATATTGCAAATATCAAAAAATAACTTTCAGAGAATATATAGTCCTTGTTTGAACCCCATTTTTTCAAGAACTCATTTTCAATTACACATTCTCCAATAAAATAATTTTACACGTAAACCGAAAACTTTTTCTTATTTTTGAACCACACATTTTCCAAAAAATCAATATTCCAAAATACATTTTTCCCCCAAAATGGGGCTCAAACAAGGGCATATTGTCAAAAGAGGATCTCAACTTGGCGATTGCAGTTAGATTGTTGCTTGTTGTTTCCATGCAAGGGAGTGGCACAAGTGCTTTTGTCATTTGGCTTTCTATTAAGCCATTGTTCGCAAAATTTCAGTAGTGACAAGTGATTCATATGACAGGACTAATGTGTCCTCTACACTGCTTCACCTGTAATCGTATGCCCTTTCAAGGTTTCACTAGTTCCAATATAAAAATTGTGTATATAGTTTTGGCTGGTTGCAGAATTTAAATTACTATCTTTGAGTATCCTTTTTTTCTCAATGCAACTGGATTGGATATTAAACTCTCACTTTCTGATGTAACTGATCACCTTTTTACGTGGAAAATGAGGGAACATGAAAATACACAGATTATTCTACTTCAAGAGCTGTTGGCAATTACACATTCGAGAAGAATCAATAGTGAAATTTAGATCTAATCCTTCTCTAAGAATGGATTTCATATTTCAATTCATCCTTGAAAAACAAAGTATCTGTTATTTTGGAAAGCTCAAGTTATGCCCTTCATAGTCTGGGCAAAATTTGAACATTTGCTGACTGGGATCACTTTGGATATGTTTGGTGTACCGGATTAGGCCGTATAAATAATTTAATATAAAATTATAATGGATAATACTAGGTAGATGGTCTTATGGTGGATTAACGTGGATAATATTCATCTACTTTCCATTCAAAAGATAGTCATATCAACTGTATAACATATTACAATATAAATGATGGATAATATTCTTCTAGATAGTCATATCAACTGTATAACATAATACAATATAAATGATGGAGGTGGGTTTAGGCCAGAGAAAAAAGAGATAATAAGTTAAATTCTCTTAAATGAAATTTCATAGATTCCTCTACCTAGTAATATTCATTATAATTTAAACTAATTTTTTTCTCCGGTCTAATCAGGTGCACCAAATGTGACCTTACAGTTTGTTCAGTTAATAGCCCTTCATAGCAGTATTTCTTATTTTTTTCCTTCTTAAATCAGAAGTGTTGGGACGAAAGAGTTTTTCTTTTTTTTTTGTACGGAATAAAAAATTTCATATTTGATGCAGGTTTCAGGATACTGTGGCCTCCTACTAGGAAGCCCTGTGATTCTCTATGAGATGATATCATTTGTTCTTCCAGGCTTAACAAAGGAAGAGAGAAGATTCCTGGGGCCAGTTGTCCTTGGGTCCTCAGTTCTTTTCTATGCAGGCCTAATCTTCTCTTATTACGTTCTCACTCCAGCAGCCTTGACATTTTTCGTTAGTTATGCGGAAGGGGTTGTTGAATCACTGTGGTCTATTGATCAGTACTTTGAGTTTGTCCTTGTGCTCTTGTTTAGCACTGGATTATCTTTCCAGGTAAAGTTTATTCTTTATCTTCATTCTTTGTCCATGCGGATGACCATGCAAAATTTTAGGTTTAAAATCAGTATATTGATTCTGTATATGTCAGAGAAGGTATCACCTTCTTTCAGAATATTCCATTTCAATAATATAATCGTGGCCTGCTAGATATGGTTGTAAGTAATAATCGCGATGTTAAGTGCAATTTACCCCTTTCTGTTGTTTAGTTTTCTGATTATCCCCGTTCAAGTTTGAATAGTCACTTAAATCCTGTGTTTACTATATCTATTTATTTTCTTAGTGAAATTACTATATTCTCGCGTTTTTTAATTTTTGCTGATTATTCCGAAATAGTGCTGATAGCTCACCCTCCACTTAACTTAGCTCATCAATTCTTCTTCTGTCTTCTATTGTGGTGAAATAACTAACCTATCCTCATAATTTGCTTGGCACTATTTTTGCTCAAAGGTTATGGAAGTCATTTCCTTTAAAAACTAATAAAGCTAAGTCATGTTGTTGAAAGAACGCTTGGATTTTGCAAATATTACTTTATAAATCAGTCTCTGTTTGTGCCCTGTTCTTTGCTCACCTACGAATGTTCTTTAGTTTCAAATATGTCATTTGTATGAGTGTTATTTATGGACGTGTCTTCTTCTTTGCTGATGGTGGCTTCTTAATGGGCTAATATTTGTCGATACTGTAACTATGTAGCACCGTTCTTGCGGAGAGCTCAGTTGGCGGATTTGATTGGAACAATGGACAATTTTTTGGGGGGTTGGGGAAACACCTTTCCATTATCTGATCGGAAAAAAAGAGGTGCGAAGAGATAATGAGTTTGGATTACAGACATGGATGTGCAAAAAATGTTTGAAAATGTTCTGACAGATGTGTTGGAACGACTCATGGATTTCTATTGCTTTCAAATTGTTTAAATCTCAGATATAATGCAAGTATTGGAATATTTCCTTTAACAAATTGTTGCCTCATCCTTTTCTCCTCCTCTACAGGTTCCAGTAATACAACTGCTGCTTGGACAACTCGGATTAGTGTCATCAGAACAGATGCTATCTGTTTGGAGATATGTAGTGGTAGGAGCGGTGATTGCTGCTGCTATACTCACACCATCAACGGACCCTCTTACTCAACTGCTTCTGGCTGGCCCCCTGATGGGTCTTTATTTGGGTGGAGCATGGACGGTAAAGCTTCTTGGCCGATGATTTACTTTACGATCGTTGCTTTGGTACCCAAATTTGCTGAAAATTTATATGTTGTAGACATATGAAACTTGAAATGGAGGTTTTTCTATTAGTAGCACTGTAGCATTTACGCCTGTTACTGCCAACTTTTTTAATGCTAGACATTTTTACTAGTTGGTTGAAAAAAGCAATGTAATTCGAACCGACCGAGCCTGCGGTTTGACTTGTGAAACCGGGAACCGGGCCCAAAGCCTAGCCGGTTAGGCGGATTAACCCATCTTTTAAATAACCACCTAAAAACCCGTTGACCTGCCCAATTTTATGAAAATTGTTGACCTGTTTCCAGTTTCACTAGCTTAAATTTAAGAAAACCGCCCAAAAATCCATCTTTTGATTTTTTTGTAAACCCGTTTCTAGTTTCACCAGTTCAAATTTATGAAAACCACCCAAAACCCATCTTCGATTTTTTATTTTTTTAAAAAATCACCGATAAGACCTGGTTCGACCCTTTTCCTTTTTCGAGTCATTGTTAAAACATTGGAAAATAGGGTAGATTCTTAAGAATAATTATTCCCATGGAATACTTGCATGAATGGTGCCACGATAGTAGAGATGGCAATTTTCCCCGCCCCGAATGGGGCAAAAAAACTTGTCCCGAACGGGTTGGCGGGGTGGGGCGTGGCGAGGTTCGCCGCCCACGGGCGGGGATGAACCCGCCCCGTGAAGAATTAAAAAAAAAAAATTTGTTTTAGACTTTGTTTGTTTTGAACATTTTTTGTTTCGAATGCTTGTTTTGGATATTGATGTAATTAGTTTGAACA